CCCCCCTACCCCCCCCCCCGCCCGCATTTCTGAAGGGAGAAAAGAAGAGGGTTTTCAATCCAACACGCCCCCCAAGGTCGGCGGATTAGGGGTACGTTTTTGGGGGTCCCCATAATAAGGACTATAATATATCAGGGTCTAGATTGGGGTCCCCTTATTTAGGAAAACTACCATTTAGCAAGTTGGGATCTATTAGAGGTTTGGGATTCAGGGTTTAGGGTTTTAGGCTTTTAGGGTGCTAGGGTTTTAGGATTTAGGGTTTTAGGGTTTTAGGGTGTAGGGTTTAGGGCCTAAAAGTTCCCAATATTATGGTCCTGGGTTCTGTGTATAGGTATGGTATAGGGTACCTCAAAAAGACCTCCACATGCTCTTGCTAATTATCTAGGCCCCTGTATTAAGTTGAGAGGTTAAGGGTTTGATATTCAAGGCTTGGGGGTGCTAAGGATTAAGGATTTTGGACATACGTGTTCTCAGGGGTCGGGTTCAAAACAAGTTGTAAGTTTTATGACCCTTGCTCTCAATATTTCTGGTTCCAAGGCCATGATAAAGTCAATGTTCATGGGGCGCTCACCCAGCGCAGGTTCGGTGTGGTAAGAAAAGATTACTTAAAGTTTCATGGCTCAGGTTTAGGATTAAGGACTTAGGGTTCAGGATTGCGGAGTAACTTTTAGGATTCAGGTTCAGAATTCAGGGCTTGGGATGGCAGTGACTCTGAAGCCCCTGAGGGATCGTCACAGTGACCGTGACTGAAAGTTCCGACAAAAAGGTATAGTGTCAGTGTACTATACCATGCCCAAAATCTTCCAAACCTGAAGAGTAAGTCCTGGTAGCAGCTCCCTAGCAATCTTACCGAGAACAGGTAAAGGACAGAAAGCGCTGCGGCTGTGCAAACACGAAGGAGTTATAGTAACACGCAGTAAACTACAAGGTTTCCAGCCAACATGCCAGCAATGCTGTCAAACCACTATATATGGCCTAGACTTGACCAAGGCAGTCCGACCATTCCGCCCCCAGCGCCACCACAGCAGCATTGGAGGCCAAATAACATGCTCAACAATCAATTGCAAACATTGACAGCAAGAGCTGCAGCGAGCGCGGCAAGAACAAGAAGAACAATCAGATTGAAAACCATGGCCGGCCACGGCCACGACCGCCACTGACTTTTTGCGCGATGCCTTTGTTGCTGCTGCTGATGCTTATACTGCAAGTGCTACGATGCCAGCGATGATCACGAAGCCTACACGACCACTGCCATTGCCTGCCCCCCCGCAGTGAATGTTTTGACTGCTTTGATTGTGGAATGGCGAACCAAGGAGCATCGGACCGCCACTTCCACGTGGCGCGGGTCCTGAACAGGAAGGGGCGCTACTGGACTGCCCCTAACGTAGCTTCAGCGTTTATAACAGGGTTTGCCAATAAGGCTGTCATTACGCGGTGTCGGGACTGGAAGTAGGTGTCGAGCTGAAGAAGGCTGAGCTTCAGGAAGGCGTTTAAATTTCGATCTTCGCGGCCATATTCTACCAGTCAGGTTGTCGGTACGCGAGCCATCCCTGGATGGTTTCAGTTTAAGATGTTTGCTCAAGTTCCTCACAAATAATTGATGGCTAGCCCAAAGCCTAGGGTGTGCTAAAATGAGATTTCCTTTCCCCGCGAGCCGCGAGCCCTTGTGAGAGACTGTTGATGCACAGCCTTTGCTGAGACCGTTAAGCACCGCGCAGCCCTTCATCCCTACTTAGCCCGGACATCCCAAAACCCCGAGCACGCCTGACAGCTTAAGACCCCTTACCGCGCAAACACACATGCAACAAGGTGCTCGCCCATCTCGCTGTTTGACGAGGCTGCCCGCCAGAAGGCGTCACAAGGCGGGGCTCCCAATGCTAGGTTTAGTTTTTAGAGTTCAAACCCAAGGTTCAGGGGGTCTCTCCAAACAAGGCAACCCTTCGGGCTTTCAGGGGGCTATATAGGACTTCTTACAGATTGCAGGGGTGCCCTGTTCAGGATTATGAGGATGTTGTCTCGAGAAATTCCCACCACATACCCAATTCTATAAACCAGGGCATTCAGAGATATCGACAGTACGTAGCCTGGGGTTGGACTTCTTTCGGAGATTCAGACGCTAGGCTTTGGGGGAGCAAGGTTTAGGGCCTCTTACGTTACAACAGTGTTTCCGTGCCTTTCTTCACGTGTGCATTTGTATGTTTTTGGCCGGGGTTCGGGGATTTCGTGGTTTCAGGACCCAAGGCCTAACACTGACTTTGTAGGCTTAAGGGTTCTGTCGGGTTCCCAAAGTGTTTAAAACCTGAGGCCCAAATTCTGAATCAGAAGCTCTAAGCCGTCAATATTCAATCTCTATCGGGCTTGCAGATGAGGATGCTAAAGGCGCCATTCATGGGTTCCCCTGCTACCCTCCCGCTAAACAACCCCCCCAGATTCCCCTTACTCAACCTTACTTGAGCCTATTTCTTCCTTCATAACCTTAATTAGGGGGAGAACCTACGGGGGGCCGTATAGAGGGGGGTAGTAGAGGAACCCATTAATGTCTCCATGGCTCGTATTCAAGGCATTTACTGCATTACAGGACAGCTGCCCAATCAACGATCCAAAACCTCAAAAGTGACACTCCGAGCTGAAACTGATGTACCTTCTTGAGTCTCGCTTCCTTTGAACTCCTGCACAAGTCCTAGCCTTTCACTCCAAAAAAGCAGCTCCAAACCCTGTGCTTCCTGCACCTCAACAACATATCCGCCAGTAGCAACCCCAGATGTCACGCCCCCATGACTCTCCCATGCATGTTCACCCATGTTCACCCTGCAGGATCTAACGAAACAGCTAACAGCAGAACTTTGATGGGTAGGTTCCAGGCTTGACACAAACACACAAGCCCAGCACACCTTGCTGTACTGCAAATTTTGAGGGCTGCAATACGTACCAATGTCATGGTTCAAGATTCCTAGTATAGATAAATGGTAAACGGTACGCCATTTCTTTGCAACATCTTCCTCTACATGACCCCAGTTTGAAAATGTCTTTTTTCCATTTTGCTATTGGTTCTTCATTCTTCCATCCCTAAACCTCAACAACTCTGACATTCAGGCGGGATCCCCGAATGGGCCATTCGCACGGTGCTAAAGGCGCGCTGAGTTGTTTGCTGGCGCTTGCAGGGTGTAGCATACAGGATGCATACGTCGGTGCTCCATCAAATGAGAAGGACTTTGAACCTGCAAAACGCTCAGCAAATAAATCAGAAGTCCGCGATGCAGCAAGCTATCCCCCAAGGCGAGTTCAGGTTCAACTTTGCAAATAATGGGGCTTAGCGATCAAGTTAGCTCGTGATAAGACGCCTGGCTGTGCGAGTATACATGCCATGCTGCAAGTAAATGTCTTGAAGGTGTGGACAGATGCTAGACAGGACATTGACCGGGGGGCACCTGGCAGACCCACCACGATACACGATTCCCGCAGATGGGCAGCAGGTTGTTCCTGAACCAACTCGCAGCAATCTCCCGGATAAAGCATTCACGATGCAGGGTTCTTCCGCTACGCCTGTGGAAGTTGGAGCAAGCCCGGCACTTGCCCAGCTGAGGTGGATGAGAAAGATATGGACCTCCCGCTGGTGCGTCTCAACAGCCTAAACAAGATCTTGATGATAAGATTTGGAGGCAGAAGATGCTGGATAGCAAATTTCAAAGTCCACTCTTTCCGACATGTCAGCCGTCCCTGATTCTTGAATCCCCTAGCCCCGAATGATACATGTGGCTTCCAGGGCCTACTGAGCTACAGAAGAGGCACACAGCACGCCGCTTACGATCACGTGATATCCAATGTTACAGTATACCACGAGTGTTTCGCTACATGCCTAGGGCAAACCTGGATCGAATAATCGAAACATCCTGCATCCGGACATGTGAAGAAGGCTCGCGTTAAAGCAAGATAGACGAAGATGAGCCCTCCGTCCAGGAACCTTATCCCCAAGCCCTTCAGTCTACCCCATATCCATGAGGACATGGCTTAGGCCAAGGACTAGGGCATTCCAGATCCCTTTTCAGATCTCTTGGTGGAAGCCCTTTCACCCTGGAAACCTGTTTCCCTTCAGGCCCTAAGCTTAATCTCCAGGTCCTCAAAGACAATATGGAGGGTTGTGAAAAGTATAGGGTCTGTCTGGAGTCCCCCTTATAATACAGTCCACATAAAACAGGCTGAAGTCCTTCAACTGCGGGTAGTGACAGGCGCGGCGTCTTGTGGACCAGGCATCTGGCCTTGGTGACCTCACGGATGTCTACGAGGCCTTTTGGGGACATCGGAGATTTTCCTACCATTCCCCTAGCTAGCATGGACCCCCAGACAGCTCCGGTCCTTTTGGGGTTCCACATTGGTTTAGAGTTTAGGGTTTAGGGTTTAGGGTTTGGGTTTTGTGGAAGGTAGATCCCGTAAGTTCCGAAATCAGTGATCCAGGCCCTGGATACTAACCTCTTTGACTCTGTCGCGCAGCCCGCCAATTAAACCCTAAGCCCTCTATGCCCCTGTATAACCCCTATATGGACAACCCCTACATATCCCCTGTATATCCCCTTCATATTGCAGCTGAGTGCAGGCACAGATCGTGACTGCTAAGCGAGAGAAGCGCGGCATTGCCAGGGCGCCGCTGTCCCATACCGAGCTGCCATTTGTCTAAGGTCAACGTTATGGGTCCTACCTGTAGCTTGTACGATGTGAACATCATCTTTTGTATTATTCGTTCTGTTTTCCTGAAAGCGCTGGGGCCGCGCTTTGTGGTGATTTTTTGTGAGGTCTATGTAAACTTGCTTCGGAGTGTACGTTGGAACGGCTGCTGAAACTAAAAATTATGAGTGCCTTCTAGGATGTAGCACCTGTTGATTCCGAGGCTTTTAGCTCAATTTTTACACATGTCCGAGACCCCCACGGATTGCAGGATGGCATGTTTGCTCAAATGGTACGAGGAATCAGGTGCTATCTTGGCTCTTGCGGGTTCCGAGCATGAAACGTGTTGAACATGTTGTTTACGCAGGAGCTTTTTGAGTTTAGCGGTCAGGTGCATGGTTTCTGATGGAATGTGGTAGTTCACCGTAGCCCATGAGGTAGGTTGAAGTGCGCTCTAGCGACTAAGGCTATGTGACGAAGTCAGTGTCTCTTTGGTCTTTGCAGCCACTAATACTGTAGGTGGAGTAGTTAGTGAAAGATGCGAAGCATGAGCCTTCCAAAGCTAGGGTTTAGGGTTTGGGGTTTCGGTTTAGGTATTAGAAATTAGGATGCAGGGTTTAGGGTCCAGGGATTAGGGTGTAGCAGGCGCCTCAGACCTACTCTCGGGCATGCGCCCATACATGGGATTTAGTTCTGATAGCGGCTGTGATCGGTATAGTAACAAGAGTATTGACAGCAATAATAAGAATAGTAACAATAGTAAGCATATTGATTTTAGTAATAGCAGTACTAATAGTAGTATTAGTAGTTGACAGTTTGCAAGTCCGGTGGGACTTCTTCTAATGATCGGGCCGCAGTGTACTGCTAAACACGTGACTATGATGGCATTTTCTAGCTCCCAAATCATCACGGCTTTGTGTTCTGCAGCTTTACGCTCAAAAGCAGTGGGCTGCATAGATAGCACCCAAACTGCAGCGACCAGTCGAGGCGTGTTCTGGGTTGGGTTCATATGACCAGACTGGACACCCATGTGTACGGTCTCATGTAGGTCCTGTATGATTTTGTAGGGTTCTCTCATCATTGACGGACCTGCGGTGGGAAATGGATCTCTTCTTGGGACCATTCAGCTTCTGAACTTGTGACCCAGATCTGCGGCGTGGACGTAGTGGCCTAAGGAGTTCCCACACACAATACCTTTGCTGGGTCCACGTAAACGCTGCGTGGTAGCTTAGACCTTCAAGCACTTGTTGATTCAACTTGTTGGCCTTGGGGCTTTCTATGGATGTTGTTTCACTTTGCCATAGTAACTATGGGTTCTTGTTTGAAGTGTACGATAGAAGGTATGTCCCTATGCAAATTTCTCCCCATCGTGGATGCACATATAAGCCCCAGTGTCGCGCGTGCATGAATACCCAAAGGGTCCTTGTAGCTATATGGTATATACTTGACCCTTCAAGAGTACGTCTTATTGGGATTTTACAGGATTATCATAGGGATCCACTCTTAAACTCTTCCTCAATCATTCGTAAGATGTTGCCTCTACGGCAGTACCATGATCCTGGCTCGTAGAACAGGATGCCTGAGGCTATGGCAGAAACCTATGTAGCAGCCACTTGGAGCTTCCTAACAAAAGCTGCACACTCCCTAGATGTAAAGCTTAGATGGTGGAACGGAATCTTTGAAACACCGGACTAGTGAAGCCCCCCAACATGTTGGCAATTGGTAATGTTCAATGTAGGTACAACATAGCCAGGAAAGTCTACATGTTCAAGCGGGACCTGTGGCAGCCAGCAGTGTCAGATTATCAGACCTTCGGTATATGGGAGTATATTATATAGGGATCATATTCCCTTATTCCCTACTAGCAACCAGCAAGTTTGTTCACTCTAACCTTGCAAGTATCTGAATGTATCCGGCTTTCAATCTTCAACCCCACAGCCCAGAGCCTCATAGCCAGGCAGCTCATGTCTTTGGGTAAGCCTGTCCCAAGATTCAACTCACCCCTGTTCTCGCAGCATTGACAGATCTTAATGAACTTATGGTGCATAGCGTAGAGGGTCAACGTTGTAAATTGGAATTGCCACATTGTTGTTTGGAAGTGTTTCCCGAAGCCCTTTTCGCTACCTCTTTAGTCCCATACCGCAATCCCAATGTACTTGCAAAGACTCTCTGAACTAGAAGATTCTTTGCTATAAGAGGCGACCATTGCCAGCGCTGGCATGGATCAGGTGCATCTGCCGAGCTTGAGGCTTCAGAGGATTTTCTGAGCTGTCGCAAGCACATTTTACATTGTTTAAAGGGCCTTCCGGTGGAGAGCTTGTAGAGAGGAAGTTGTTGAGTCCATGGGGACCCCACGCCAGATCCCAGGCGCAACTCTTCAGTGTCCTTGGCCTTTGTGAAGCCTTAAGCTTGTTTTTCTCCATAGGTCAGCGTTGAGGGTAAACCAGGAATGGTGTCGGGACCACGAGGCGGGATCATTCAGTCTGCAGGAAGCCCGTAACATAAGGTGAGGGCACCTTCTACGCGCTTGGTGAATAACGCTTCTGTTTTTTCTGCTGAGAGGATATTCTTCTGGTGCGCAGTAGGGAACGGGGGGAGTGTTACAAGTCATAGAGACTTCTGTAGGGATTATTTGTTCATTCCCTGCTAAGCACCAAATAGTATCGCTGGCCGCCGTGCGTGCTACCAGGTGCAGACTCACCACAGTAGGAACACTTTGCCTGTCTACGGAAGGGGAATATTTCCAGGACGGGCGAGAGTGCATACACATATATGCATATGTAAACATTTGATACGGCAGGTGTATGTATACATATATATATATATTAGATAGATAAATAGCTTGGTAGATAGAGAGGTAGACAGATTCTTTACACGTAGATGCCATACGCAGCTATACATTTGTATATTTATATATACGCATGTACATACACTAAGCTCTAAGCGCCTGCCCTGTCCAACCAGTTTGCTGCCAGGTCGACCCGGAGCATGTGCCCAAGGCCGGAATGGAGCGTCCCAATGCCAGTCATACTCTTGATGAAATCTATACTGTTCGTAGGGAAGTATGGGAATGCAATCCCTACATAACCCCTATGTCATACTCCTGATAACCTCTATATTGTTAGTAGGGAGTATGGAAATATAGTCCCTACATAACCTGGCGTACTCTTGATAACAGTTTTGCCTGCATGTCCTCAGTTTTTCAGCATTTCAAGGTATTCAGACCCTACATATACCACAGCATCAGAACTCCTGGCGTTTAGTTAGTTTCAATGGTAGGCTCTGCATGCTGAGGAAGTATGGTCATATGATATGCCGATGCATGGTCCCTGGCTGGACTGCGCCAAGTACACTATGACCTTAGGGCGAGCGCAGGCACTACAATCTAGGCATGCATCCATACGATGATATTGGACCCCCCGCTACCCCGTTTTAAGAGTTGGGCGTGCGCATATTCAAGCATGTTTCGGACATAGTAAACCACCTTGATGAGGATCTGAAGGTAGAAGACATAGACCTCGGGGCTGATAAGAGGCTGGTGTGTACAGTGCTTTCCCTAGGGAACAAAGTAGCCGAAAGTAGATGCTATGCATTGAGTTTTGGGGCGAAAGCTGGTGTGATGTATTGACCTGGGTCACGATGGTTTGCCTGAGTTCCGCAAACTTTCCGCAGGACCAAGCAACAGGAGAATATCACACTCAGATCACTAACCTGCCAAAATAGAAGATGGTCACATCCACGAAGCCTCAAGGCCCGACGCCATAGAGTAAAAAAAATTAGAAATCCCAGACCCTGAGAAAACCGACCAGCCCTGCCATGCGCATAGCGCAGGGAAATTGCAAAAGGATCTTCCATTGTCCAATTCTGGGAACCCTGAGCCCTATCTTGTCCAACAGTCTAGTCGAAAACCATACTTGCAAGCCAGAAGCCCGTTCGCGAGGTCTACGAGCGAAAGGTTTTCCCTTTCAAGACATCTGCCGGACCATCGCCTGCGGATAGCCGGTTATCAACTCCAGCTCCATGATGGCATAGACAGGGTGTTCCAATTTAGGGTTTAGGGTTGAG